GGCTGAACCACCCAGCAAACCATAAGCAAAGAAACACATATTAATCATTAGCCCAAATTTACCATTAAACACAGAAATATACACCAACTATGGGTATAACTCCATATGGGTGTATACGCAATTATAAACATTAATTTATCTGTTATTATTATTTCCTTTTCCCTCACACTGCAAAAAACAGTTCATCATCATCATTACAGTGCAAGCCCAGGCACACACACACACACAGAGAGAGTCTCCAAGAACACACACACACACACACAATGGAGTAGCAATAATTATTATAGGATAAACACAGGGAGAGCAAAAACACACAAAACATAATAACATTAAGAAACGAAAAAAAAGAATATCCCAACAGGTGGAAGATTAGTTAGACTGTAGTGTGGATGCACGCAAAAAGGAAAAAAAAACAAAGGATGACCTGAGTCACACCATCACCAACACACAATCAGCACACAAGAATACAGGCCAGTGTAACCACAATCAGTAGTGGTACACGCACCCACACAGAACTGCTGATACTGCTGCTGCTGTNCCCGCACGACACCTCCACAGCCCCACGGGATACACCACGGCCACTGGGACTGTCATTATCAACAGCAGCAGCAGCCGCCATGGTATACCCGCAGGTACAGCACAGCACAACGGCCAACACACACTTCACACGGCACATCATCATCATCATGAGAGAAACAATAGTTTGGTTTGCGTAAAAACACTGATCTAGAAAGAAAGACAATCAAAAAGTGAAAAAAGAAAATAAATGAAGTATCAAACATGTTAGGACACACGAATCGATTACCACTATAGAAGGTCACATCGTGAAAAGTAAAACTACCAGTTAAAGAATGCAATACAGAGCAATATCCTCAGTAAGAGTAAAAACAAAAAAAAAGGCACACATTGACAAATATCTCAAAAAAAGGCTCGGCGAGTCAGCAAAATCATCAAGCAAAGAAACAGATATTAACTATTAGCCCAATTTACCCAGTAAACACAGAAATATACACCAACTATGGGTGTAAGTCTATATGTGTCCGTATACAAGTAATTATAAATATAAATTCATCTGTTATTATTATTTCCTGTTTTCCCTTTCCTTCCCAATGCAAAAAAGCAGTTCATCATCATTATCATCACAGTGCAAGCCCAGGTGCAGACACACAGAGAGAGTCTCCAAGAACACACACACACACAATGGAGTAGCAATAATAATAATTATAGGATAAACACAGAGAGCACAAAAACACACACAAAACACATTAACATTAAGAAACAAAAAAAAGAAGAGAAATTCCCAACAGGTGAAAGATTAGTTTGACTGTAGGGATGCATGCAAAAAAAAAAACAAAGGATGACCTGAGTCACACCACCACACCACCATTACAATCAGCACACAAGAATACAGGCCAGTGTAACCACAATCAGTAGTGGTACACGCACCCACACAGAACTGCTCATACTGCTGCTGCTGTCTGCATCACCCTTCTTGTTATTTGCAGTCTCAGGAGGAAGTGTTGTTGTGGTTGTTGTGGTGGTGGTAGTGGTTGATTCCTCATTATGTGTTGTAGTGTCATCCGCAGTATTTGCAGTTCCTTCTGGTGAAGGGGATGCAGGAGTCTCAGCACCAGCGGCAGTAGATGATTGTGGTCCAATAATTTCTTGTGGTTGTGCGGTTGTTTGGGCAGCAGATTCTGTATTGGGTGTAGTATCATTACTTTTAGGTTCATCTTCTCCTGTAGTTGTAGGCCTTTGCACTTCCATAGTGTTCTGTTGCGACTGTGCAGTACCAAGGTTACTTTGTTGACCGGCTGGTTGTGAATGGGCCGGCAATTCAGTTCTTTCGCTGGTACTGTCCCTATGGCTACCATTACCCGGTGGTGGTGGTGGTGTAGCATCTCTCTTGATTGCCTCAGTCTTTGGGCCCTTGAGATCAACTGTTTCTTTAGTCAATGTATTTTCCGTTTCTCCTCTACCTGGCTCGAGCTCCGAAACTCCGTTAACCAATTCACTACCAGGTCCCCCATGATCTGCAGGATGCGGCTCCTCTTGTAAGTTCCTGGCAGTTTTACTGCATTGAGATTTATCGACCTTGGTACGGCAGTCATCTGTGTCAGGAACTTCAACACTAGAAGAAGGAGCACAGTCTGCAGCACCATCATCAGAACCAGTAGGGGGACATTCACGAGGAGAAGAACCGGTGGATTGAGAAACCGTTTCAGCCGTCCCACACAGAGGGGGTACACTCAGAAACAAAATCAAAGCACACAACAAAAAGCGCAGTAGCATCGCAATAAAAATTATTCTCCTTGCTTTCGATACCTCAACTGGATCAGGAATAAAAAAAGAAAGCAAAACAGAAAGCCAATAAAAAAGAGGCACATGGAGGAAAAAAGAGACAACAAAAAACATCAGTCACACAAAACATTAACACCAAAATAAACAATAAAGAGTCCATTAAATAGGAACATCACATACCAACTGTCTCAGAAATCGAGAGAAAAGAAAACTAACGGCATCATCAAACAACAAATTCAGCGAACTATGGCTATGCTTGAAAATCATTTGTAATAATAAATACCTGTGTGACACACAGTTATTACTCTTCATTCTGCACTACGCAGAGTACAATAAGAAAGAGGAACCAGACGCACAGAATGACCCAGCAAACCACAAGCAAGCAAACAAACAGATATTAACCATTAGCCCAACCTACCCAGTAAACACAGAAATACACCAACTATGGGTGTGTAGGTCTATATGTGTGTATACGCAATTATAAATATAAATTCATCTGTTATTATTATTTCCTTTTTTCCCACTGCAAAAAGCATTTCATCATCATCATTACAGTACAAGCCCAGGTGCACACACAGCGAGAGTCTCCAATAACACACACAAAATATCCCATGGCTCTAGTTTATGTATATTAAATTACTCCACAGACACATCTGTGTGTACTAGCAAGAGATGTATACCGTCAGTGAGCAGAACAGCCCAGTTTTCTGCAAACACACACAACGGGAAAAGCAAGTAATGGAATTAATAAGAAAATGAACACACACACACAAAAGTAAAAGAAAAAGAAAAGAAACTCGAATTAAAAGAGAAAGCTGATAAACAAATTACTAGTTTATTCACCCATGGGGTGGATGTACGCAATTATGATTATGTTAGTATTAACCATTATTATTATTTGTCCTCAGATGAGTCCCACTGTTCAGTACACGGTAACGGAGAACAACACAGCCACAATCAAGAGCGGTGCTGCAGTGCGCACCCACACAGGACTGACACTGCTGTCAACATTAGCCTTCTTCTGTAGAGTTGGAACGATGGTGTTAATTTCTGCGTTGGGTACAAGAGATGGAATGGTACTGTTTGTAGTTGGCGCTTCTGTAGGAGTGCGGCTGATCTCTGCGTTGGCTTGAGGAGATGGAGTTATTGGTGCTTCACTGTTGGTTTTGGTGGTGGCCGTTGAATCAGCATTGGCATTCTCATGCGATCCTTCTGTGCCAGTCGTACCTGGAGCTGCAGCTGACTGCTGTGTGGGATTAGGGGTGGTAAGTGTACTCGTCTCAGTTGGTGAATGATTCTGTGAAGGATTACCATCATTGGTATTACTGTTCACCGTGGCGTTTTCAGATGGTGTTTGTGATTGGTCGTGATTGGAATTAACCTCTCTGGCTGTGCTTATGGCTGTAGGCTTTGATAATGTTGTTCTTGCTTCTGACGCTGCTTCTGGTGAGCTGCTTGAGTCAACAGAATCTGTTGGTGAGCGTTTTGTAGCTTCAGGATGAGGTAGATCTTCTTGCACTCCAGTAGATACTAACGAAGTGCCTAATTCTCTCTCCTGTTGAAGCTGAGTGCCATTCTGAGATACCGAGTTCGTGTCTCCACGTGGTTGTTGCCGATGATCTCGTACTTCTTCTTGTTCTTGTTGTTCAGGTATACCTTTATCGTGTTCTTTGGTCAAAACAACTTCGAGTTTCTGACTTGTCTTCTCTCGTAAATCATGTTCTAGTGGTTTATGTCCAGATTCATCATCTCTGCTCTTCAGTGAGTCTTTGTCCTCTTTGGGCTCAAGTTTGCCTTCTATCGAATCTGTCGTTGTTTTCTTGAGCCATTCGGACACAGAAAAATCCCAACTACTCCAAAGTGCCATCACCGCCTTTGGTTGTCCAGCATTAGCAGTAGTAGTAATGGTTGTTGTTGTTCTTGTTGCTGCTCTTGCGGTACGCTGGCGGCAGAGGTCTGCGTACTTCCCACATGCAGACACACGGCTGCCCGCACCGCATGTAAGCCACTCGCTCTCAGCAGCGGGGCGTACACGCAGCGCACCGCCGGCCCCNCTTCTTGTTCTTGCATTGGTGATGTGTTCTCATGTGTACTCCTATGGTCGCCACCATTAGGTGCAGATGCTGAGACTGTTGGGTTCTCTCCATTTGCTTGTGTTGATTCAGATGGACGATCACCTGACTGGTGTCTGTCAGAAACTGTAGAAGTTGGAGGGGGATGCTCTTCAGTTGGTTTTGTAATCCGTCCTTCTGCAGACCCAAAGGAACTAAGAGGGTTATTTTGTCCCGGAGTACCTGATGGGGTGCCTTCTGCTTTTAAGGTTTGTTGAACAACCTGAGTTCCTGTTCTACCTTTATTTTCAGAATCATCTGTTAACTTTGCGTGATCACTTTGGGATACGTCTTGCTCTTGATGCGAATTTGTAATGACATGTATACCTCCTTGTACACCAGGTTTCAAATGTGGCATGACACTTGAAAGAGGTTTCGAGGTTGGACCATACTTAGGAGTATTACCAGAATTATTGCAAGCAGGATTTCTAAAAAAAAAAGGAGGAAGGCCAACGTAAGGAACACATTTACTGGACTCAGAAGCTTTAGGATCATCAGCCCATACTAACCCACAAGCACAACAGAGTGCAAGAGTTAGTAAACAAAGAAGGTAGCACCTTACCATTACAGCCTTTGTCATTGTTAATGATGATTATTTCAATAGACTGATACAAGAAAGAAGGAAAAAGGTGAGAGACATAGAGAGTGGATACAGGACACAAATACTCACCGTGGAAAAGAGAGAAAAGCAGTAACAGCACAGTAAAGCAAGAAAAATGAATATCCCACTTGTATTATAATAATATGTATCCATTAATAGAAAAAGAGAACACCTCACATTACCCAAATAAGAGAGAGAGCCAAAAACAAACACACAATACCCCATGGCTCTAGTTTATCTATTACATTACTGCACACACACATCTGTGTACTAGCAAGAGATGTATACCGTCAGTGAACAGAACAGCCCAGGTTTCTGCAAACACACACAACGGAAAAGCAAGTAATGGAATTATTAGAAAAAAGAACACACACACACACATAAAAGTAAAAAGAAAAGAAATTCCAATTAAAAGAGAAAGCTGGTAAACAGATTATTAGTTCATTCATTCACCCATGGGGGATAAATGGATATACGCAATTATGTTAGTTTAACCATTATTATTATTTGCTCTCAGATGACTCCCACTGTTCAGTACACGGTAACGGAGAACAACGCAGCCACAATCAGCAGCGGTGCTGCAGTGTGCATCCACAGAGGACTGACACTGCTGTCAACATTAGGCTTGTTCTGTAATGAGGAAGCAACGTTGCTGCTGATCTGTGGTTCCGGGGAAGGTAGAGGAGAGTTAACAGTTGTGTTTGGTAATTCGGTGTAAGTATTCTTAGTGTTGGCGGTAGCCGCAGAAGTGTCATTATCTTCTGATTCTGTCGTGGCAGGTGCATCATTCACTCCAATGGATTGGGTGGTTCTCACGGGAGTGTCAGTAGCAACGCTAGTCCTGCCATTACCTTCTTGGAGTTTATCCACTTCCGACACGACATTTTCTGTTTTTTCAGATTCTTGCGCAGAATTAGCATCGTTGACATTACGGTTATCTGTGGCGTTTGCAGACTCGGCCTGTGGGCTGCGTTTCATTGAATCAACATCTTTAGATGAGTCTGTGCCTTTAGCTGTAGTGTGGGTTTGCTCTCCTTCTGAGAGTGGTTTTTCTGTTTGTGGTGATCGTGAAATAGCTGATGAGGATCCGCTCCCTAGAGCGCCACCTTCTTTAGGTAGAGCGTTAGAAGATGTAACACGAGTTAACTCCTCTTGTCCTTTAGAGGAACCCAATGAGAGAACCTCCACTTCCGTATGATGCTCCTCTTTTTTCAACTCTGGTCCATGGTGAAGGACTCCTTCTGATTCTGAATCGTTTTCTTCGCGCGATTTCCCAACAGTTTCGGGATGTTCCTGTTCCTGAACTTGCATTTCTTCATGTTCCGATCCACGCTCACTTCTATTTTTTGATTTGTTCTTCCATGCAGACACGTTTTCAGGCGTTATATCTAGTTCAAAGACCTTGTCTGCATAGATATTAAAAAACGCAGTCACCGCTTTTGGCTGTCCAGCAGTAGTTCTAGCAATGGTTCTTGCTGCTCTTGCGGTACGCTGGCGGCAGAGGTCTGCGTACTTCCCACATGCAGACACACGGCTGCCCGCACCGCATGTAAGCCACTCGCTCNTACCAGTTAAAGAATGAAATACAGCGAAATAACCGTAGTAAGAGTAAAAACAAAAATAAAGCCCACACTCACAAATATCTCAAAAAAGGCTGAACCACCCAGCAAACCATAAGCAAAGAAATAGATATTAATCATTAGTCCAATTTATCCAGTAAACACAGAAATACACCAAATATGGCTGTCAGTCTATGTGTTTATATAAGCAATTATAAATATAAATTCATCTGTTATTATTATTTCCTTTCCCTTCACTGCAAAAAGCAGTTCATCATCATCACAGTGCAAAGCCCAGGTGCACACACAGAGAGAGTCTCCAAGAACACACACACACACAATGGAGTAGTAGCAATAACAATTATTATAGGATAAACACAGAGAGAGTAAAAACGCACAAAACACAGATTAACATTAAGAAACAAAAAAAAAGAAGAGGAATCCCAACAGGTGGAAGATTAGTTAGACTGTAGTGTGGACTCATGCAAAAAAAGAAGAAAGAAAACAAAGGATGACCTGAGTCACACTACCACATCATCACAATCAGCACACAAGATTACAGGCCAGTGTAACCACAATCAGTAGTGGCACACGCACCCACACAGAACTGCTGATACTGCTGCTGCTGTCTGCATCACCCTTCTTGTTGTTTGTGAGTTCAGGAGGAAGTGTTGTCGTAGTAGTACTAGTAGTAGTGGTAGTGGTGGTAGTGGTGGTGGTAGTTTCTGTATTATCTGCAGTACCTTCTTGAGTACTTGGTAATTCACTCTGTGCATCTCCAGATTCGTTATCATTCGGTGTGACTGAAGTGTTTGAAGAAGTCTCAGGTGTATTCTGAGGTGAAGTAGCAGAAGTCTCTTTCCCGTCAATAGTTCCTTGCAGTGATGTGACCACAGATTCTCCGTTTTGTGCATCATTAGTGTCGTTATGTTCCTGTCCTTGTCCTGATGATTTCGTTTCTCGCTGAATAGCATGGTTCTCTTTAGCGATTGCATCTCCCAAAGGTGCTGGAGCTTGGTGTTTTGCAGAAGGAGGTTCTTGACTTGGTTGCGTTGGAGAGGTTACTGCTGTAGTAGTAGATACCACTTGGCCATTTACTCCTGAACCACCAGAGAAGTCGATACCACTGTTTTGTCGATTGTGAGACACACCCTTGTTTTCTGCAACCATCTCATCCAACCACTTTTCTTGTTCTTCTTCTTCGTCAAACATAGGATTGAGAAGAAGCGCAGGAATAGCACGACGAACAAGAGAAGGAACACCAACAGTAGAAGGTTTAATAAGGGCATCAGAACCTTTAGGACTATCAGCCCATACTAACCCACAAGCACAACAGAGTACAAGAGTTAGTAAACAGAGCAGGTAACACCTCACCATTACAGCCTTTGTCATTGTTGTTGATTACTTCAGTAGACTAATACAAGAAAGAAAGAGGAACAGAAGGAAAAAGAATTATGATAGAAACAAACAAACAAACATACACCAATACAACAAGTACTCACAGTGGGATAGAGAGAAAGAGAAGCAGCAACAGTACAGTAAAGCAAAAGAAAAGAAATATCCCGCTTGTATAATAATATGTATCCATTAATAGAAAAGAAAACACCCCACAATACCCAAATAAAAGAGAGAGAACCAAACACACACACAATACCCCATGTCTCTAGTTTATGTATATTAAACTACTGCACACACACATCTGTGTGTACTAGCAATAGATGTATACCGTTAGTGAGCAGAACAGCCCAGTTTTCTGCACACACACAACGGGAAAAAGCAAGTAATGGAATTAATTAGAAAAAGAACACACACACATAAAAGTAAAGTAAAAGAAAAGATATTCGAATTGGAAGAGAATGCTGGTAAACAGATTATTAGTTTATTCATTCACCCATGGGGGATGTATGCAATTATGATTATATTATTTTAACCATTATTATTATTATTTGTTCTCAGATGAGCCCACCGTTCAGTACACGGTAACGGAGAACAATACAGCCACAATCAACAGCGGTGCTGAAGTGCGCATCCACACAGGACTGATACTGCTGTCAACATTACCCTTCATNATCTGTGTGTACTAGCAAGAGATGTATACCGTCAGTGAGCAGAACAGCCCAGTTTTCTGCAAACACACAACGGGAAAAGCAAGTAATGGAATTATTAGAAAAAGAACATACACAAAAGTAAAAGAAAAAGAAAAGAAATTCGAATTAAAAGAGAAATCTGGTAAACAGATTATTAGTTTATTTCACCCATGGGGGATGTACGCAATTATGATTATGTTAGGATTACCATTATTATTATTATTTGTCCTCATATGAGTCCCACCGTTCAGTACACGGCAACGGAGACCAACACAGCTACAATCAGCAGCGGTGCTGCAGTGCGCATCCACACAGGACTGATACTGCTGTCAACATTGGCCTTGTTCTCTACATTGGAAGTGATGTTGTTGATCTCTGCGTTGGGTACAGATGATGGAGTGGGAGTTGGTGCTTCTGTGGTGGTGTTCTCAGTGCTTGGCTGAGTAGTTGAATTGGTTTCTTGTGATTCTGGTGCAGCAGGCCCATCAACATTTGCACGAGATCGCTGGTTAGGATTAGAGTCGGCAGGTGTACCGTTATCCCCTGTGCTGCTCGATTCTACTTGATCACCTTGTGTACCTGCAGGAGTCCCCGGAGTATGGATTGGCGTGCTGGTAACTGTTCCTGTTGCTCTACTTTCTGTTCCTGGTTTCTTTCCTTTAACTTCAGGAGCACCATCAGGATCTTCTGATGATTCTGGTCCACGTTCTTGACTTCCTTCCTTCACGTGAGCATCTTGTAATTCAGAGCCATCACCGCTTCCTCCACCGGGGTGACTATCTTCACCCGAAATTGTTGATGAAGGTTTATCCAGAGATTTTAACCACTCCGAACAATTTTTTCCAGCAATAACAGCAGAAGCATTCTCCTTACACACCGCTCGCACCTTCTGTTCTTGTAGAGTTACATTCCAATGCCAATCAGTGTTCCAATTATACCCTTTAGGTAAGTTAGCTTTATCATGAAAAACGAATACGTCATCTTCACTATTCTCCTGGCCCGAAGCAGTCACCGCCTTTGGCTGTCCATTAGTAGCAGCAGAGGTCACAGTACTTCCACAGGCGCAGCACAACACAACGGCCAACACACACATCACACGGCGAATCATCATCATCATGAGAGAGACAATAGTTTGTTTCACGTAAAAACACTGACCTAGAAAGAAAGACGATCAAAAAGTAAAAAAAGAAAATAAATGAAGTATCAAACATGTTACGACACACAAATCGATTACCACAAAAGGGAGTCACATCGTGAAAGTAAAACCTACCAGCTAAAGAATGCAATACAGCACAATAACCTAACTAAGAGTAAAAACAAAAAAAAAGCCCACACTCACAAATATCTCAAAAAAGGCTGAACCACCCAGCAAACTCATCAAGCAAACAAACAGATATTAACCATTAACCCAATTAAACCAGTAAACACAGAAATACACCAACTATGGATGTAAGTCTATATGTGTATGTATATAAGCAATTATAAATATAAATTCATCTGTTATTATTATTTCCTTTTTTCCACTGCAAAAAACAGTTCATCATCATTATCATAGTGCAAGCCCAGGTGCACACACACAGAGAGAGTCTCCAAGAACACACACTCAATGGAGTAGCAATAATTATTATTATAGGATAAACATAGAGAGAGTAAAAACACACAAAACACAATATCATTAAGAAACAAAAAAAAGAAAAGAAAATCCAAACAGGTGNATTTTCTCGGTGCTCAGTGTACAAAAACACAGTAGCAAATATATTATTATTAGCAGTAAACAAGTGATTACCAACACTCTCTGGAAGGGACCCCACCACAGGGCTCAGCACACAGAGAGATCAACAACAGCGGCAGTAGTGGCAGTTCCTTTGTATTTATTCCACAAATATCAGCAGCATCAAGAGAGCGCCGTCTATTTTCTTTCCTTTCCTTCTCAGCAGCCACCCCGGCTTGTTCGGTGGCTTTACAAATCTTGACAGCGTCATCATAGTTCCTTCGTAATTCGATTTTTATTTCCGATTTTTTCTCTTCGATTTAGTCCCTCTGCCTGCTGTTAGATTTAACAATTGCATGAATAATATCAACATAGGGGAGTTCATGGTATAGATTGTTTAGGGAAAAGTCAAGTATGGAAACTGCAGCTATTCCGGTTATTTACACATAATTCTGTGAAGGTTAAGAAGTTAAAAAACTAATCAAATATCCACCCACTCAACATTGCCTTAAGCAAAGAGCGTCAATTGTCAATTTCTTTGATCGAATCATAAAACTCATGCTTATACTTATTGCGAGTGGTAGCTACCTCTTTTTCCAATGCTGCCATTTTGGCAATTCTTTCCTGGATCCAATTTACCAATTTTGCATATAATGACGTCATCCTTTCNAGCACACAAGAATACAGGCCAGTGTAACCACAATCAGTAGTGGCACACGCACCCACACAGAACTGCTGATACTGCTGCTGCTGTCTGCATCACCCTTCTTGTTGTTTGTGAGTTCAGGAGGAAGTGTTGTTGTTGTTGTTGTGGTAGTAGTGGTGGTTGTAGTTGATTCCTCATTATTATTAGGTGTATTGGTAGTGTCAGAGGTCATGTTTTCTGAGTTATTGGCATCACCTGTACCATTGTTTGGTTGTGAGTCATTTGTGTCAGTTGTCTGTTCTTGTCTCCCGCTGTTTTCTTGAGTGTCTGTATTATCTGTACTGGGTCCAGTAGAAGAATTGGGTTGTGCTCCCCTTTGATTTCCCTGTGGTCCTTGTGCTCCCGCATTGTTCTGTTCACCGTCTCTTTGAGGAGTGTCCATGTTTGGTGTACCTTCTGTTTGTGCCGGTTTCTTAGTATCCGTACTCTCGTCAGTCACAGCTTCACTCTCTTTTGTCGTCTCTACACCATCCCCTCCAGAAGGACTTTTCATTGGAGGGTCAGCAGCAGCAGCAACAGCAGGAGGATCTGGAGGAGCGGCAGGGGCAGGAACTACAGCAGGAGTATTGGGACCACTTATTGTTGCTGAAGGTGTACGATCTTCAGCTTTTATTCCATTGTGTTGACCATCTCCTGGAGTCAAGTCCCGCGAGGGTTTCGGTTGGCAATTCTTTCCCTTATTTGCCTCCTCATCATCTGATTGACATTCTGGTCCCCTAGCTACCTCTTCTCTCTCACGAGTTTCCAAAGTATCCTGCAAAGTGCTATCGCGATTGACAGTAACACGATCGCTTTTTTTAAGTTCCTCAGCTTCACTGTCAGCTGCCACACATCCACAGACACAACACAGTGCGAGGAACATAACATAAAGCACGTAACACTTTATCATCATGACAATGGCTGTTGCCATTGTTTCCTGGTATCACTAAGTCAGAGAAATAAGAAAGAATTAGAAAAAACACAAAACAATTAATAAAAAAAAACAAGAAAATTATAATCACAGATCAAATGAACAAAACAAATGACATTTACAAACAGAGAAAACACAATATCACAACAATCACTGAGAAAACGCCTAATTAAAGGAACAAAACACACAAGAACCAGTATTAAGAAAAAAAACCCGAAATAGAAATAATCAAGAAAATGCATTTAAAATGCTACCACCAAGAGCAGAAAACACACAAATATATAGCTCTCTATTCACTACTAAGTAAATAGAAAATTCTGAATTTATCCGTAACTGATAACATTTTGCACTCTGCAAAAAGCAAAAATACCACCACTATGCAGGTCAAAGCCCTAAACGACCCAGCAACTACAAGCAAAGAAACAGATACTTACAATTGAAAACAATTTACCAAAGCAAACACAGAAATATACACCAAATATGGGTGTTAGTCTATATGTGTATATACGCAATTATAAATATAAATTCATCTGTTATTATTATTTTCTTCTTTTCACTGCAAAAAACAGTTCATCATAATAATCACAGTGCAAGCCCAGGTGCACACACACACAGAGAGAGAGAGAGAGAGAGTCTCCAAGAACACACACACACACACACACAATGGAGTAGCAATAATTATAGGATAAACACAAAGAGAGAGCAAAAAGACACACAAAACACATTAACATTAAGAAAAACAAAAAGAAGAATATAATCCCAACAAGTGGAAGATTAGTTAGATTGTAGGGATGTATGCAAAGAGAAGAAAAGAAAACAAAGGATGACCTGAGTCACACCACCACCATCACTCAATCAGCACACAAGAATACAGGCCAGTGTAACCACAATCAGTAGTGGTATACGCACCCACACAGAATTNAGGGATGCATGCAAAGAAAGAAAAAAAGGATGACCTGAGTCACACCACATCACCATCACAATAATCAGCACACAAGAATACAGGCCAGTGTAACCATAATCAGTAGTGGTACACGCACCCACACAGAACTGCTGATACTGCTGCTGCTGTCTGCATCACCCTTCACATTTGGCATTATGGTGTCATTGCTGATTCCAGGTACAGGAGGAATTGTATTGGTGTTGGTGGTGGTGGTGGTAGTTGAGATTGATTCCTGGTTACTGGTTATATTGAGGGTAACAGAGTCCGTGTTCACGGTGGTATTCCCTTCTGATGATGTTCCCATAGTATTGACACCATTTGTTGATTCATTCTCTTCTGAAGTTGTCACATTATCAGTGGTACTGTTGGGCTCTGTGCTCATGTTATTTAATGTCTTTGAATCACCAGTAGATAGACCAGATTGAGTTATTTCACTAGGTGATGCATCTGTAGTAGGATGTGGGTTTGAGTCAGCAGTAACATGGGATTCTGTACTTGTTGTACCTGTGGCTCTTGGATCTTCATTGTGGTTATCTTGTTGAGGACCGTGTGCGGTCTCCTTTATCTGTTCTTGTTGCCCCTCAGTTCTCCTCTCATCTGACTCACTGGGTAGCGGCTGCTTCTGCGTACTTTCTGTTTGCTCTGTCACCTCACTACGCTGGTTGATACTTACATCTTGTACAGTATGAGCATGAGGAGAAGATAGGACAGTTTCCGGTTTACTCGCGTTCAAAGGAGTTTGAACTTCTAATGTGTCACCTGCCTTTTGTTGCTTCACCTTCTGCTCTCCATCCATCTCGTTCCTGTTCAAAACACCGCTTTCACCTTTAGTAACACTATTGGTCACGACAGGACGATTCCCATTCTTAATATCTGCACCAGGCAAACCACTACCACCTTGAATTTCCTTCGTACTGCCGGGACCCTTTGTACCACCTGGACGAACAGATGAAAGATCATCACGTTGATTTAAAAGAGACATACCATAAGAAGGGTGAGAATCATGAGAACCAGGAGCAGCAGGTTTAACAGCAGCATCACGATGAAGTTGGTGAGATGAAGGAAGAGAAGAGANGTGGTGGTGGTGGTGGTGGTGGTTGATTCTGTATTTCCCACCTCATTTTGGTTACTTAATGACTCACTCCCTTCAGGTGTAGTGTCATTCCCAGTCGTTGTGGTTTCAGATTCGCCATTGTTCTGTGTGACTGTACTGCTTGAAGAAGATGATTCTGTGACGGAATCACCATTGATGGGTACACTTCCACTTGAAGCACTGGTGTCGCTAGTTCCAGATGTAACTTCACTTGCAGACGCACCATCACTTTCTTCAGCAGAAGTAGTACTAACAACAGGAGGAGAAGCAACATTTTTATCCAGCACCTCGTTTTCCTGCAATCCATCTTGATTTTTCCCTTCTTGCAAAGACACTCCTTCCTGAGCACCGTCATTCTTTTTCTCAGGAGAGTCGCCGGACAACTTCCTTTTGGAGTCTTCTGTGGCTTGCAGTTTACCGTCTTTCTGTGTTAAAGATTGAAGCTTTTCTCCTTCATTGTCGGTACCCTGGGCAACAGCAGAAGACAATGGAGGAACCGGTGAAATTCCAGGAGCACCAGAACCTACTCCCCCACCTCCAGACGCCGCAGGCGGTCCATCAAGACGAGAATCCTGATCAGACTGTCCAGGTATCGGTTCCGGTGGTAGTGGAAGAGCCGGTTTCTCTTCTTTACAAGAAGGCTTAGTAGTAGCCGTACAAGCTTTAGTAGAACCTTCAGCAGGAAGAGTTTCCGTTTCACTCTCAAGAGTAGATTCACCACTTGCACCTAACACACACACAAAGGAAGTGCTCATTATCAGAATGATAAGTAAGAATACATGGCGTAGCATCATCATTGGAGAAGTCATTTTTTTTTTTTTTGGCGTCCTTTCACTGAAGAATACATAAGAAAGGAAAAAAAACAAAGAAACAAGTGAAGGCGAAATAGGTAACAAACCACTAAAAATAAACCACTAATAATCACAGCAAAAAAGAAAATAAACAGAAAAAACCAACCCACACGGAAAAAGCAATACTCCAAATATACTCGGAATTCCAATAAAAAGGCCAAGCACACAATACCCACTATTAAACATAAACTCCCCAGTAACACGACAAAGAAAAACAGAAATTAAAAGTGATGACAACAACAGCAGAAAACACACAAATACATAACTCTCAATTTCTTGTACCGATTGTAGCATATTATTAATTTATGTGAAAGAGATAATACTTGTTATCACTATCGAAAAACATATCACCATAACAGTACAGAGCAAAAAACACATACAACAATAAACAACACAAAAGCAA